ACGGAAAATTGGTCCTAGTTTCATTGATTAGGACATTAAAAACGATAAACTAACCTTCGTTTAAGTAATGCATTTATTTATAATTTAGGCTAAATATAAATATATATTATATATATATTTATATATATATTTAAAAAGCATATAATTCTAATCCTATTGATTTATTTAAAAAATTATTCCAGACTCTGTAAGCGATGTTGTTAGGCGGCATCTGAGAACTTTATTTACCTTAGGTTGCATAAGATGCCGAAGAACTGATAGTTGAATTAACCCACAATGATATGAGTAGTACTTGCGATGACATTGAATTTAATTTGTTTTGCATCTAAATAGGTTGTCCCATTAATGCTGAACTGAATTTTCAACGGGAATTGAAGTCAGGTAACGCAACCTATAATTTCAACGTGATATTACTACATCAAACTGCCAAATGTGGCACTGGATAAAAAGGCTGTCAAATTTCGAGGCTAGTCAGGCTTCTACCCTATCACATTTAAAAATAAGATCTGCAATGAAGCAAAATATTATTTGCTGTTACAGCAGTCTGCATTATTTATATTCAAAGTGAGTAGGCCTCCATAAAATAAGTGGATCCGCCCGGGTTCGATTCCCGTTGAGGGTGTTGATGTGACCAAGACGAAGTCAAAACTGCAGTCCAGTCTAGTGTGGATGAGAATCCCTTGTGAATTTGTGACATGCACTCAAAACATGGTTGGAAAATTTAAATATTTGTGCTTTCTCATCCTATTCAGCCTACTCAATTTGAGTAAAAGTAAAAGTACTCTGTTTCGTTAAGGCGCTGAAATACTAATAGTTGCATTTTTCCACATGCATTTGCTTAGTCATCATGCTTTCATCGAACTTCATATAGCCTTGCTTTCCAAGAGGTATTCTCCGCCAGGTTAGACTACAGTTTCGATTTCGCCCGGGTCTCTTTAGCACCCTCAGCAGGATTTGATCCTGGGTTTTGGTGTTGCAGCGTATAATCTTGACACGTCTATCACTACGCTACTTTTCCATGAGGGCCTTTTGGTTACAGAGCAAATGTGAATTTCAAATAAGACTAGGCCTTTTTCCATATAAAATTATGTGATGGAAGTGTCGATGAGGGAAAATTGTATATGCTATTGCACTCGACCACATTACTTATTTTTCTTTACAATAAGATTTTTGAGACTACCGGTAGATCTTATATATGGGATATATTCACCCTATTCAATGCACCTTATATATATGATCTACCAGTATTCTCAAAAGCCTTTTTATAGACGAAAAATGAATAAAAATAGTCGTCTACTTCTCGAAATGATAATGCAAGAATTATACCTATTCTTAGATGAATTCTATTATTATTGCTTAAAGTGGTATGCTTTTCCTTCGTCAGGATCTGAGTCAGCAACACACAGAGAAGAAATCCGCCTACCAGGCTCTGCTGACCAGTGAGGAGAGCCACTGCTTCCGTCTGGAGACGCAGGCATCGCAGGCTCGTGAGTCAGCCCGATCGGTTGAGGATCGTTTTCACTATCTTATCGCCTTGCGTGGCCTTCACCAGGTTCAACAGTTTCGGGTGCAGGAAGAGATGCGCAGCTATGTGACTGGAGGCGCTCTTTCCGACGCAAGCGGAGGCTTGACTCCCTCAATCAGGGCTGGAGATCGTGGAGACCGCGGAGACGGTCGAGGCGGCAGAGAGGCGGGATCATCCAGTGGCGTCGGTGGAAATGTTAGGCTTGAGTTGGCTGGTTCTGATGCGACTCCGATTCCAGCTTTGGCTCCGAAGCTTGGCACTCTGGTGCAAGACAAAAGACGCTGTCTTCGGTGAGTCCGTTCTCTCCCGTACACTCGTATACATTTTTATCATCATAATCATTATCACCACTACCATCAGCACCGCCATCATCATCATCAACATCGCTATTCATCTTTAGTAATTATATAAACCCCCCTCTTTCCCATTTTAACTCTTCTTCTTTTCCATTTTTCATGCTTCTTCTATGCATTTGGCAAAACTTTACCACCCGGACTTTCCGAAGCTTCACTTTGCCTTCCTTCATCTTTTATGAAGTGCGAAAAGTTGTGTTGTCTTGTGTGTTTAAATAATTTTGGCCTAAATGCTGTACAAGTTAATATGAAACACTGATGCTCACTTTGTCCGTTAGATCCTCTTTCAGCCAGCACCATCCGTAGATGGGGATTTCTTAGTCGGTCGCGATTAACGTTTCTGGGGGTGTTGACCGCCAGAGCTGATGGCTGTAGATCCCTTTAAACGATGAACTCTTAAAGTTGGATTAGACTACTTTTCGCAACAATCCTCAATTCTTGTAAAACTTAATCAGCTTAAGTCGTCCTAGGTGGTTTAAGGACTGTTGGGTAAGTTTTTTCAACAAATTAATCTGAATAGACTTCATGAGTCCATTGAATTAACCTCAAGGCTGGACTGGAAGGTAGTTTTGACTTCGTCCGAATTTATCGTATTATCATTCCCAAATGAATTTTACATCAGGTCGTGAGTATCTTGGCATGAGTTGAGCATTTCAGTGTGTCACAGGACAAATATGCCATTAAAGGCAAGCCAGGTCTCTTCCAACTCACAGTTTTTATTGTGAAATTGTCAATTAACCAAACATGTTTGCGGGAATATATCAGATCACTGGTCGGAGCCTGGAAATCACGGCAGAGGACACGGGACTAAGTACGTTCCACCAGGTCTCCCTGACGTTCCGATCAAGTTGTGAAAATGAGGTCGAACCAAGACTATAAATCCAAAGGAGACTGCCCCCAAACGGAAGGCCACACCATTTTGATATGCATATCCACAAACATGTGTTTACCGTTATTTTCAAAGGCGTTACTTAATTTCGATATGAGTAGTTTTCAAGACTATCAGTAATACTTGATCAACAAACTGCACTTCGTCCTAGATGAGATCATCTTTTGGGGAGAAGGGCTAAGTGAAGTTACTGCTACTTTGCAGTAGTTTGGTTTTAGTACCACTTTCAGGTTTACGCATTCCACGAAATGTCCTTCATTGTTTTGGATGGAATTTGGCCAAGCTTTCGTCCATCAAGTAAACATTTCAAGTAAACAAAAAAGTCAGGACTTCACAAACACATCATACATCAGCTAGTTGGCATATCTATGTTGTCGCGACAGTCTGCCGTCACATCCACGCATGCGTCTTGCCTACATGCTCTTATGCGTATGAATGTTTGTGCATGTGCACTCATTTGATAGGCTTAGGCTTTACAGAGATTTTACAGACAAAAAATGGGTTGGTTTTTGATACCTCCTTTCGTACTGAACAAACTCTATCCAAGCCTTCTGTAGCCTGTAATGCAGACTCCTGATCTGTGCAACGATCCTTGCTGAACACTCGACCAGATTTCTTTTTGCCTAGACTGGTTTTTGTCGAAGCCACCAGTCTCATTCAGACCGAATTATGCCATATCTGTCTACATCTCTAATAGTGTCATAAAGTCTCATAAAATATAAAAAAACGAATGCAAATTTTTACCCAGTTGATAATTTTCAAATAAGATTACACACTATGTATGTGGAAATATTGGCTCTTGAAGAATCTCTTAGCAGATTGTTGTTGAAGTAACTTTCAGTTCGCTTGAAGAGGAGAGTGGAAGTGATTTGTAAGTTGGTCTAATCGGAAGCTGTAGGGGGATTGCCTAGGAACTGTAGATTTGTAGATTTGTGCGAATAGGTCCTTGGCGCACTGCCCTGTGACCCAGATGAATACTTGCTGAGATTTCGTCCGTCTCGTGACGGATATCGTCAGCTTAACGATAATTCACCAAAAACACAAAGGTAAGAAAGGTGGCCTGCTTCAAACCTACCTACTTCTTATTATATATATATATATATATCTATATGCCGTCGTATTCTGATGAGATTAACCAACTAATCTCTTCATATGAAATGAAATTCTATACAACAATGAAATTCTGTGACACCATAAGGCCTATTCATCTAATTAAGCAAAATCTCATTTGTCAGTTCTTCAATCGCCATGGGGTGACTAAGTTCTTAGTTAAGCCTTGAAATGCCTCGTCTATGCAATCTCGGATGCGGCATCAGACGAGTTTACCACATCTGGGGTTCGTCGGAACCGGCTGCTATGATTGTGCGTGGTTTATGCCATTACGCTCGCTGTCAAAAGT